TTCAATGCCCCCACTTGGCTTTCGCTTTGACGGACGGCTCCCAATGTTCATCCTGCCATACTCCAGCTCTGGGGTGGCCTACAATCATGGAAAAAATAATGAACTTCACAACTAGAATAACCCGATATTTAAACTACGTTTTGCTTTATTTTTGCAATACACTTACAAGGCGGAAATACTCGACAAATCGGGGTTCCTTAAAAACTATTGAACGGTAATCCTCTGTTGCAATAACAGCAATTTCATCCAGAAGTGCACGCCATTCTGGTTTTGGCGAGACTGGGGGATGCATCCCATGCTCAAGTGTAGCAGCAGTGAAACGCTGAAGTGTTCTAAAGCACAAGTGCTCCTCTCCAAAAGATTGCTCAATAACTTCACCCTGAACTGTAACACGGAGTGACCCATGAATTGTTTCTGGAGGTGAGACAATATAGCAAGATGGGTGGGGCCACCTCCTCTTCCACTGTCCCACCTCGACCATGGAACATGGTTAGCTTTATGCCGTGATGCTTTGCAACTTTTATAAGTTCCTCTTGAGCCTTATATAACTGCCAGGCTGCTGAAAGCCGCCCGGCATCTTTACCAGAGTCCGAGTACCCGATCATGACTTCTTGTTTACCATTAATACGGTTCCTGTACCAATCAATTGAGAAAAGCCGTGCAACGGCAGCAGGAGCAGCCTCTAGATCATCGAGTTTCTCAAACAGAGGAACGACCCTTAGTGGCTGCTTCACACGGCATTCACGCTGTAGAAGCTCAACTGCAAGCACATCAGATGGTGCTGTCGCCATAGAAATGATGTAAGCTCCAAAGCAGTCTGGCGGGAGTTCTGCTATGACATGAAGTGTGTCCAAAACATCAGCGATTTCTTCAGTTTTTGGAACATCGGGTCCAAATAGTGGCCGCTTGCCACTGAGTTCAGATAAAAGCCATTCCTGCCTGCGTTCTTCGGACCATTCTCGATAGGAACCAATTTCTAGATGCTTCGTAATGGCATCTATGACATCAGTGTGCCTGTCTGACTCTTGCCTTATGTCAAGTCTCACAAGTGAGAGTCCAAAAGTGGACACTTGCCTCAGAAAATCAAGAAGACTTCCATCAGCAATGGACCGGTCCCCACAATCACATAGAGATCTGTAGCAGAGTTCAAGAGGCTCCAAGAACTACAAAAAGTTTACAACCCAATCAGCTCTGTATCCAGTTAGAGAGAGAGAAAGGAAAATTCAATTTGTCAATTCTTAACATATTCGACTAAGAGCTCAAGCCCAAGAGATGATAGTCCAATAAGTACTGATCCATTAAGACAAATTGACAAACACATTAAAAACAGAGTTTCACAGACACATACACAGGGAAAGAATCCTTAGAATTGAGAATGCCAATCAACGACAACTAGTTTAAGGTTTCACACTGAGTAGGTTGAAGAACAATGGCATAAGCACTGATGATAGACAGGTGTGATTGAGAATTTGATTACAAAACTCTCGAGTCAGAAAAAAAAAACACAAATACCTCCTCGATATTGGTGTAAGTTGCCTCTTCGGGAATGTCAGATAACCCATGGGCTAATAAATGACGAGATCGTTCACGTGTCTGATATAGCTTATCCCTCACATCACCAAGAATAACCCGATAAGGTTCACTTGGTGGAACTTGCTTCCAAAACTCTGCATTAGGAAAAATTCAACACGCAATCTTGTTAAGGATTACTAGATTCTTTGTCCATTCTTCAAATGGTTTTTCATCAATTCAGTAAAATAACCAGCTAACATGGCACCACACATACCAAACAAAATCTATATAATATCACCAGATCTAGTTGTGATAATAATATTTTAAGAAAATGCTTCAAAAAGAAGCACTTAAATATTGCCTTGTTTGTGAAACTCAATTTTGTTATGATAAAGTTGTTGGTCTTTGAACAAAGAAACATGAAAGAATTCCAAATTGTTACCTATGTAGTGTTTTGCATCTTTCCTTGAGGATCTATGGAGTTCATCCGCTCGAACTCGAAGCTCGTCATTGCAACGCCACATAGACAACTGTAGTAGAAAATGGAGTTGGAGGAGTGTTAGCACTTAAGAGAATATTAAAATTGCAGATGGTATCCAAGCATTAAGGGTAGTTATTTCATACCTCGAACATGAGGTCCTCTATCTGGGAATAGTATAAGTTAGCAGCCATCATTCTGGCCAATAAGCAGACATCCCTCGTGACCTCGGGAGTTACCCTTGGATTACCTGCATTTGATTCCAAACACATGTTGAGCAAGAGATGAGAGACAAAGGGAGTATGATTCTGCTATCAAGAACTGGCACAACTAATAAATCATCTCAACAGAATAAAACCTTGGAAACAACACTAACTTAAGAATACACAAGCTTTTATTCTTTTTATTTTTTTAGTAACTCAGTTGCATTAAAATCACACATGAAACTATTTTTGTTGTTTGTTGCTTGTTGCCTCATTTTCAAAGAAACTTGGCATACTTCTTCATGTATATATTTATAAACTATGAACTGCACGTAAGAAAAGAATCCTACCATCACGATCACCACCCATCCAAGAAGAGAATTGAATAAGGGGAGCATTGTAAGGAACACGCTCATTTATCCCTATGTTCTTAAGAGCTGTATCAACACGGCGTAAAAATTTAGGAACACCCTTCCAAATTGTTTCATGGAAGTAGCTCATTCCAGCTCGCATTTCATCTTGTGGGGTTGGTGGAGTCCTTCGGATCTCATCAGTACGGAAGGCAGCTTGAATCTGGCACAAAAATGTAAAGGGAAAGGCAAAAGAAAAAGATCAGCCATGTTGCACTCCAAGCAAGCTGTTGCCTTTTTAGATAACCTTCCAAACATGTCTTTGTCAAATACTCTCAAATATAGTTACAATGCTATGATCATGCAAAAATTAGGGGATTATGATCATCCAAAAGTGCATATAGCAGCCATAAAGCATTTCTGCATGGTCAAATCTTTTGTCCAGGACATCTTTCATACATAAATCTAGAAATTCTATCGTCCATAAAAAAGAAGATATAATTAAATCCTTCAGTGCATAAAACTGATGAGATCAGGGCAAAGGAAGTAGTACTGTTGCAAAGAGAAAAGGGTTCTATCCTATTTAACGTTAGGCCGTATACAAGTCTTGTAGCTTGGTTTAGTAATTTAATCAACAAATAGTTCTGAATCATAACATTCATCCATGTAATATATACAGGGAAATTGTTGAGTATTATCTAACTTCTGTTATCAGGAAGATGTGCATCTAAGGATGCAATATGTTAAGGGCGCGTATTATGTGTTTGCTCTTTTTCCATCCGGAAAAAACTGCAACTGTAACAGATATGCTCATTTATGCATAAACATATATATTCTATGACCATATACACCTACAAAATAGAGATAAGTGTGTTATATCCCATAATGGACACCAAAGCTGCACCAATAGGATCCTTTGACACTGGCGAACAAATATGGTCTATGGTTGTGAATTGAAAATATTGTCTGGAAAGCATGACAAAAATAATTTGTTCAAAGCATAACTATTGAGGTGATGCTCTGAGAAAAGGAAATAGTGTGATTTGTACACCCAGATTAACCAAGTTGGAACTCATTTTCAGACACATGACAGATTAACCACCAGACAATTCATGCTAATATTTTAGAAGTTGAGAGACAAATTCAAAGTTGTTGTTATAAATGACTCATGCCATAGAAATATCAATTAGTAATCTAGGCATTCAAGGAGACATGATAGAGAATATAAACATAAAGAAAAATAGACTAATATATAAAATAGAGTCACATTATAATAAGGAAAGCTTAGCCATTTTAAGGAAACTACAAAATCTAAAGAGAGAGACCTCCAAAGCAACATTGGATATTACACTGAATTTTAATTAGGAAACTAAAATAACTTCACCAGCACTTGAACACTCATAATCTTGATAAAAAAATGACTGCTACCTCTACAAACACCTTAAACATAGAACATATGTATATACATGTATCTATTTCTGCAGTCCTTATATATTAATAACCAGCCTTGTCAGAGAGTGACACATCTTTTATCAAATGGCAGGTGTACTTCCAAGAAAACATAAAGATACAATGCATAAGTTCCTCTGTTTTCTCCTAGCAATCTATGTCAGAGACTCACATGCACATCCTCTACTCATCACAAGCAATGGTTGGCCCCAGTAAAGAAGACTATGGTCCCATGTTTACACAAAGAAAAAAGGAATTTTTTTCTTGAAATTGAGAACTAGACATAATAGTGTGGATGAAGCACCGATAATTACCTCCCTTTGTAGAGCCTCATCAAGTTCCTGCTTATCATCAGGTGTAATGTCTTTGGCATATAACTGGGCCAAACAATTCCGTATCCTGAAGCAGAAAGAGAGGAATAAGAGCAAGAAAAGAAGATCACAAAGACACATAATAAACTTGAGCAGAAAAAAAGTCAATGATGTTGAAGAGTAGCTTGTACTAGCAGAAATAGAATGAACTTTCTAAACCGTTGGAACGCGATAACCATAGTGATTATGAAACAAACCTAGCATGCTTTTGAAGCAATGATCGGCGGATTGATTGGGTTGGATGGGCAGTGAAAACTAGGTCCACAGTTTGATTCTTCAGTGCATCAAAAACTTCTTCAGGAGACTTCTTCAGGTCCACCACAAGTCTCTTCAGAGTTTCTTCAATGTCTGATTCAGTTGTTGCAGAGTTCTCATCAACAAAATCGCCCTTTTTCAACTTCTTGATCCGTCGACGGTAAGCAATCTGAACCTCCTCAGCCAAGTTGGCCAAGTTAAGCATGTGAGAGAAAGCTTTAGCAATGACAATGGAGTCTCCTGGATCCAAACTTGTCAATACATTTCCAAGCTCCTCCAGCTTCTTAGGATCATGCTTCCCTTCATACTCAGCTGAAAGTTCATAACAATCTTGCACCTAAGAGACACCATAGAAAGCAATTTGGCTCACTAACAACACTAAAATAATTGTGATTACATAAACAAATCAATGGGTGTAAGCTAAATTTACACAAATCATCCCGTGAATGCAAATTAACAAGACAATACAGGCAATAATTTCACAAATGGACAAGCATATCGGAGATCTTAAACTAAATTGTTGTGATCAACAGGGATTCCACATGAAACAGTAAGGAATCAATCACAGTTCTCATAAAAATCCAACCTTTTTGCAAGAGGTAAATCAAAACCCACACGAAATCCAATCTTCTAGATAAAGGTGTACCGGTGCACGAGGCTCTCGCCATTAGGGGGTGTGGGGTCTGGGGTTTGGGGAGGGTTAGTACGGAGCCTTACAATGGAGCAACCTTCCCAGTTGCGCCGAGGCCTGCCCTCAATCAACTCTTTTAGATCATCCATCAAAATGGGTTTTAGTGAGCATTGTTCTTCACTTTTAAACAAGATCGAGATATAAATATCCCTCTAAAACTAACCAATGCACTAATCTAAAACCACAAAGACCATAAAGAATTCAACTTTTATCAGATTGGGTTCTCAATACTACAATCAGGGTCATATTTTAGACATTACCAGAAAGATTGAAGTTCTATTCAACATATATGTAGTAAAAGCATACCGTTTCCTTGAGATCATTTCCATGCAAATCCTGAAGAATGTCAAGGAACCGATCTAACAACAGAGCATCATACTCCACAAGCTTATCATCTTCAGACAATTTCCCAGGTACCAAAAGCCTCAATTGTGCGTCGATCGATGCCAATTTCTCCAGATTCCTATTAGCCATCGATCTCTCTCGGCCTCTTCCTGGGATTAGCAATCGAACTATGAACTCCAAATTGGCAAAACCCTGCAAAAAATGAACCCAAGAATCACGGATTTGAATCAATCAATAACCATAAATGCTGATCACGACCCAGAAAAATCGGGCCCGTGACATCGAGGATTAGACAGTCAAAACCCACATGAATACACAGAGAGAGAGTGTGTGCGTTTAGATAAGATTGTGTGAATTTGCATACAAAAAAAAGCTTATATGTAACATAAATTGGCGATTTTTGAGACCCAGAAAGAGAAAACTGAGTGAAGTTTGAGATAAGGTAGTACCTGAATCTGGGTAAGTGAGGACTGAAAATAAGAAGAAGAAGAAGAAGAAGAGCAGCGGAGGAGGGTCAGAGAGGGAGAGATAGGTGATCAAAACGCTATGCACTGGCTTGATATATATAGAGAAAGAAAGAAGAAAAAACGAGTAGTAATAAACTTGATTCTCTCTCCTTCTCCGTCTCTGTCTCTGTCACAAATTGGACTTAACGTTTTTCAATCCCAGCATTCCAGGGCTCACTCCACGGCTGAACTTGTGTTAAAAAGAGTTTATGGGTCAAACCCTCAATCTTTCTCTAATTTCCAACTATAATTTCTCTCTCGTGAAGAGAATATGCCTTTGAAGATCCTTACTTTTCCCAACTTGTCATAATCAGTAAATTTTTTTTCTTTTGTTTTTTGGTCTGTGTCATTGTCACTATTTGCTTTGCTCCCGTCTGTTTTTTGTTTCTTTTTTATGAGAAAGCAGAGGATTTTGATATGGTCAACAGAAAGCAAAGGGTTCAAGACTTTCCTTCCAAAAATATTTAAGTGTGTCAAAATAATTTTGCACAAAATTATAATTCACAACTTAAGCGGTGTTTGATAAAATTAAAAATTAAAATTTAAAAGCTGAAAGCTTAAGTCTGAAACCTGAAAGTTGGGTGCTGAATTTGTGGACTGTTTGATATTTATTAAAATTTAAGTACTGAAATTAGTTAAACTGTTTGATAATTATACAAAATTGAAGTCTAAAAATAAATTAATTTTTAGTTTTACCCTTACACTCTCTAATTTAAAAATATTTATAAGATACTGTCATAACATAAATCATAATTACTATTATTATATTGTAATCTACATTTAACAAATATTTGATTAAAATAAATAAATAAATAACATCTAAATAACACAATAAGTGAACAATAATAAATTGAATAACAAAATAAGTGAACAATAATATCTGATAAAAAAAATAACTAATAAATAATTAAATAATATTGAAAAAAATAAAAATACATTAATTTAGATTTCATTAACAATATGTGTGTGCATCGTGTGTGTGCAGTGCATATGTCTGTGCGTGTGCAATGTGTGCATTTGTGGGTGTTGTGAAGACCCTGGTCCATTACCGGACCCCTGTCTTCCAAGGGCATTCCTTCCATTACCGGGATATCCCGCCCTCCACCAAAGGATTTCGGCTGACTTGCGGGGCAAACCCCCACAGTAGCCTTTACCTCTGTCCCACATCGGGGAAAGAGTCGTCTCCCCACCCCCATATAATTCGGCTTATATGGGGGTGGGGAGACGACTCTTTCCCCGATGTGGGACAGAGGTAAAGGCTACTGTGGGGGTTTGCCCCGCAGGTCAGCCGAAATCCTTTGGTGGAGGGGCGGGATATCCCGGTAATGGAAGGAATGCCCTTGGAAGACAGGGGTCCGGTAATGGACCAGGGTCTTCACAGGTGTAATTATAATTATGTATATATATTTTTATTACAAAAGACAAGGAAAAAAAAAACAGATCGACAAGAAAAATATATAAGTTAGAGGTTTTGAAGAAAAGACTAATTAGAGTTTTAATAGGATTGTAAAATATTTTCGGAATATAATTTTTATATTGTAAATATTATTAAATATAATTTTACTGAATGTTTCAGTTTTCATAGTTAAGTAATAGATTTTCTACTTAATATTGTAGTCTAGTTTTAAAGAACACTTAATATAGTAAAAGAGTTTAAATTTTAATTATCAAACGGGTTTAATTAATAAGTGTCGAATATATTCATATTAAGTGTTGAATTTTGGTTAATAAACACACCTAGTTTGGATGATAAAATTTTTGAATAATTTTTTTCGAGATTTCAAGTTTGATATCTTTGTGATTACTAGTATATGCTTATTCAAATTGCGAGATTTTCGTTATACGTATTTTTTATTTTTAAAGTATATATTTTTTGTTAGTTTATTTTTTATTGTATTAATTTTATCAGTTTAATTCCTAAAGTATTTAATTCATGGTTTACGTGTCGGATACGTGATATCATCTAAAAAAATGACACATGATCACTTCTGTAAAAAATACTTGACAGATTATCTAATTAGAAACTAAAGTGGCAAAATGAATATTTTTATGGACTAAATTGATAAAATTAACATATTGAAAATTAAATTAATAAAAATGTATATTTTAGAGATAAAAAATACTATTAATTCTAAAGATAATCTATACTAAAGTCATTTATATTTTTCTGGTACGAGGATCAAAGTTTTATCCTTCTCATCTATTTTTGTTTTCCGCAAACAGGAGAGAATATTTCTTATAACAATAATATCATATCAGTGTTGATAACATAATATCACAAATCAATAATAAAAATACTAAATAAATAAAGTGAATCCTACTTAAATAATTATTGAATTACACGAAAGAAGAGTGAATGATTGGACACGTCGTGACGTCCACATTATAACCCTTATAATTAGGGGTGTTTACCCTATTTTATGGGTAAGAAATATGATATTCTGTCTTCTTATCTGATACTTTGTAGAAAAATTTTTTTTTGGCCTCCCTTATTCGATCAAGTGTGGTATTCTTACTCTGCTTTCGGTCAAATTAATCAGATAGGAAGTTGGGTAGGAAATCGGGTGAACATTTTTGTAGTTATTAATTTTTGGATTATTTTAACAATTCAATTAAAAAACATGCATCAATTTAACAATACAATAAATCAATAACACTAAAACTTAAAACAATTACAAAAAAAATTATAATAAAACACAACAATATATATATATATTAATGCAGGTAGAATAGGGTAAAAATACAAAAATTTATGGTTATTTTGTATTTCTATCTGATTTTTTCGATTATCCGTTTAATAGGGTCGAATAGGATAAAAATTTACAACTAATCAAAAATTTGATCACCCCTGCTTATAATAGAATAAACTTAGAAGAAGCCACGATCTATCATTGAAAAATATAATATGAGCAATGACCGAAATTGCATGAGAGTTATATATGGAGAAGTCTTGTGGAATTCCGTGCATCACTTCAATAGTTGAGCATGAATGAATTTACGAGTTCTCTACGCTGTTCAACTTACGAGTTCTTGTATCCTACCGATATTTATTATATTAATGAATATTTTTATCACCGTTATAATAGAGTTTTTTATTATATGTATGAGTATGTTTATCACTATTGTTGTATCAAAAAAAAATAGTAAAAATATTTATTACAATAGTAATAAAAAAAATCCAAAAAAATCATAAATTACCCATCAAAATGATACGATTTTTTTTTTGAATACCGTAGTCAAGTCATGAATTTAAATATGCAATTATTTACGACGACCATGAATGCCAGATCTCCTTGGACTATATATCATTGAAGTACACGCTCTAAGTTTAGATCTAAGCATGTGTAAGGTTGTTTAGATCTAAGCATGTGTAAGGTCATGAAGTCCTGAGTCTCAGTGCTATAGAACTTGATTTTTTGTTTGTTTATATATTTGGTCAACAAATAAATAAACAAACAAAGGTGTAAAAGTTTAGAAACATTGAAAACAATTGAAATTAAAACAATGTTATTTAGATTTAACCTGTTAATTAACTAACTTAATCATTCTCTACGGTTAGGAATTTTAGTTGATGAACAATAAGAGTATTGTTCCTTAAAATGATGTCATTTCATACAAAAATGACATTATCTATCTATATCTATACTACTAATAAAAATATACTATCAAGAAAAACTTTTAATTAACTACTTTAAACCTAAAATAATATATAAAAACAATACTAACCTTATTTAATTTAGACCTCATATTAATAAGACTTGATTAATACTAAACTTTTAATTTGATAACTTTACTCTCACAATATTAACATTATTAATATAGAATTCATATTAATAAAACTTCATTAATATTACACATATTGAAGTCTTTCATATTCCTTATTGTAAAAGATAAAAATTAATTATTAAAATAATTAAATTTACTTTTATTTATGTCTATCTATTTTCATTAATTGATGACAAGTTTATGAATTTTTAAATTAAACTGCATACATACACTAGAGTCTTATTTAGTATAAAATTTATTTTAATATAATTTGGATAATATTATCAAACCCTAACTTTTCATTTCATTCTCTTTTTATGTTTTAGTTTTAATAAATCTTCTTTAGTTATGTTTATCGGCAAACCATTTTATTTGTATCGATTAACAATGCAACAAATATGTTCAGTCTCACATTAAATTACTTATCACAATTTACCTTTTTAAATATGTTCAATTAATTGTTTATAATTAAATGACCGATTTATAATTAAATGACCAACATAACTTAAAATAGTTCGCTTTCATATTTTTTATGATTTAATAAGTGTTTACGATAATTTTTAGTTATATATACTCACATACTATAAAATATATTTGTATCTTTACTATGATGTTGCAAATAAAATTAATCTAAATAATTAACGTCATGTGAAATGTTTTAAAATTTAAAGGTAGAAGTTTATAAGAAGTAATTCATCAAAATTTAAGAGAAAATAAAACAATAAAAACTAATTTTTATTATGGAAATATGTAGTGTTATGTCTGTTACAAATTATGCAATAGGAATATTCAAAAAATTATATTTATAAGTAGGTATTTACTATTATATTTATTTAATTATTTTAAAAATAAAACTAATTAATCATTAAAATTGCTATTTTATTATATTTAATGATCGAATGCATATTATATGTGATTAAATATGTTAAATTCTTTAATTTTTTAGTTTAATACTTTTTCTAGTTATTTGGTTTATTTTACAGGTAAATTGGTTGATTTAAAGTAATAATGGATAAAACAAATGAATCAATCACTAGAGGAAGAATCACAATTGATAAGGATTGAAGAGTCAATATTGAAATAGAAAGACTTGAAGATATGACAATAACTTAATACTTATAAGAGTCAAAGTTGGAAGAAAACTCATTTATAGTTAGATTAAAAAAGTATCTTAGAGGATAAGGATTTAACACATTTTT